GGAGAATCTGAGAATGAAGGGGGAACTGTCTTCCTCTTTTATATCTACCATCTTGAATCATATCACAGCAGTGCTTCCTCCCTAGCCTCACAAATCCAGTGGATAAACAGAAGAACTTGAATATCGAAGAGGCAGTAGTTGAACACAATCATTGCAACTTTAAACTTCCACATGCTTCCTTTCAATGCTGATAGCATCCAAAGCGTCAGAGAGAAGCACAATGTTATCTTGACTGCTACTCTGAAAATTTAATGTGGCTTTTGCATAGTGTCCTGATAGGAAAGAATATAGTATGTATGAGACAGATTCTTCCCACTCTGTTTTGAAAAACTGCAACCAATCATAGTTAAAGTAACCCCTGCAGCTAGCCCTGAACCTTAGGAAAGTGACATAGATCACATCAATTTTGTTGTGTTCTGACTTATCTTAGGTAGAGAGGCAACTGTGTCTTCCCAAACTAAGTTGTGATCATAGTGATTATACAAACTCTTCCTGGGATTTAAAGACAATGATGGAGTCAGAAGGAAAAGCATACCCAAAGCAAATCCAAAACATCTTAAAAGTAGAAAAGATTGGCACATAAAGACATTGGCTGAAGACAATAGTACCAGAACAGCAACTTGAAAAAGAAAGTCAACCACATACCAGAACAAATTTTTGCAGACCAAAAGAGGAAAAACTTAGTCTTCTGGAAAAAAAGATAAAACTTTCTCCAGGAAATGAGTAAGCCATGCTCCTTTCTTTTTCCAGGGCTGTACCTTGAACTTTATGAATTTCATTTGCTTGGAGTTGTGAGCAAAATCTTAGGTTTATTACCAGTATCACAACATTGTAATTCTGATCACTAAAAAAAAATATACTTCTAGAGCAGTGGAGAAGCCCAGTTTTCTTCATATAAGTAATGTGACCACTCATTAGTTAAGTAAAATCTTTTGTGCTTTCAAAGGATTTTCCCACAAAAATTAAGTTCTCCTCATTTCTCTCTGTCCTTCTCTTCATAAAGTAAAGCATCTAATTATTTCTGTTCTGCTGATGAAGAAACTGAAACACAGAGACTTCTTTCAAAAAAGTATAGGCATGTTGAGAATAGGAAACTGGGCTGAGAATGCAAGTTCCCTCATTTCTAGTAAAACAATTTATCCAGTGGGCCATGTTTCTTCCTATAGCTGACACTCTACACAGCTGCTATACAATGCTATTTGGGGTTTTATTTTTTTATTAGTTTGCACGCCATCTGTCCTGTGAGCAAAAAACAAGAAGCTATTTAAACATTCCTCTCCACTGATCTCTTTCCTTCCTTCCGACCACCAATAGGCTGGGGAACAGAATGGTGTTTTAAATTACAATTTACATAGATACATGGATATACATATAACTGAAGACAATTAAAAAAAGATGTCTTTTTCTTCTTTTTCAAGAAAAATACTGTCAGGTTAGGAAACCAATCATGACATTCCTGTTGTCCTGGGTAGGGAATTTATTGAAGCTATTACATAATATCACATTGTTATATAGGTACTCATGAAATATGCCCCTCTCTTTTTCTTTTTCCTCCCTCTCTCCCTCCCTGTCTTTCTCTCTCTCACTCTCCCTCTTTCCATTATCATTCCTCTCCCTCTCAGTAACCATATTTACTTTATTGAGTCAATGAACTGGGCAAAAGACGTACTAAACCACTATTAAATCACAGATGTCTGTCCCCTTGTCACTGCAGGATATACCTGCAAGTCCCAGATAGCAAACGTATCTGGTATTATACAGAAGCTGAACTTAATCTTGGATCTTTTTCCTACAAACTCTGATCATTCTTATTACAATAATTTGTAAATCATCACCCCATCTTCTATTTCTGAAGAGGATTTGGGACTAAAAATATTAAGAAAAGTAGATACATGTCCATGCCCTAGCATGGCCACCAGAGTAAACAGTTTAAATGAGCACAGGCTGAGCTGTGGATACACACTGCTTTTTGCTAGCTCTTCTATAGGGCTGTAAGCTATAGCAAAAAACAGAGCAGTCAGCTGTGGGTAAAATTTTACGGTAGTGCAGAAAGATCTGCCAGAGCCCATCTGTTGAAGCTCTTCATCATATGCTTTGGGTTTATGCTTTCTCCTGCTGTGCACAAGCAGCTCTAAGTAGACTGAGGAAAGGTGAATAATTTTTCAGTAGAGGCCAAAGGCAACCATACGACAAGTGCAAGGTACAAATCTTGATGCACACTAAAGGTGGATTAGGTGCAGCCCAATGTGTTGCAGGAGGAGGGTTTATGAAATTTTTAAGTACTCAGAGAGTACTTGAAAGAGTACAGGTAAATGGGTGTGGCCAAAAGGAAAAGCTGTTGTATCTTAAAGAGGCTCTGAGGGTGCTATGACCTAACAATCGTGGACATGTCTTGAGAGCTACTGACATAAGAGATTTCCCTTTGTTTTATTAAGATAATAAGTTTTCAGTAAATTTTTGTCCAAGAACTCTCTTCTGCTTTGGAATTTGCTCTCTGCTTTTGTTGGAAATATCCAGCTTTTGCTGGATACTGGCAAAACCTGGATATCTACAAGGGTTTTGGTTTAAAAAGTGTTTAAATGTTTACATTTAAAGGAGAAAAAAAAGGGTTTCTACATTTTCTGGGTATGTTTAAATTAGTCATCTTCTGAAAGACCATGTTGAGTGCCAGATAAACTGTTCTTGATCTATGCTTGATAGAGGTTTACATTATCGGTGACTGATTTTCAGGGATCTGAACCCGTGCAGATTGTATTGACTTTAACTGTCTCTCTTAGTAGTCAAAAGTTCTGTAAACCCTACTCCCATGATACATTAGACCACTGTATTTTTAAAATTGGTCTTGTGATAAGCAGGCAAATCATGCCTCTTGCCACATATCAAGTCCTCATGAATCTTGATTTCCCTTAGGAAACATGTAATTTGTGTTAACAGTTTTCACATATTCTGTAGCAGTGGGAATACAGAGTGACTCTGTGGACTTCTGACTTGTAAATTTTTTTCATGAAGGGGAAAGAGACATTCTGGGTTTTTTAAAATATAACATGATGTGCACCAAACATGTCTTTCAGTTACTGGTGTAAAAAACCCAGTTCTAAGAAGCAATGTAATTAATATTTTTGTGAATTATCAGAAGACATCAGTTATTCCACTTTATCACACTCACTTTTAGCTCACTGTGTGATCTGACAGATCTAAGAGAAATACCTGTTGTTAGCTGTTATTTAAATATTTTTTTTTACTTTCTGAGAACATATTTTACAATAATGCCCTAAATTTTAAGTTCAAATTTCTTCTGGCAAACAGCTACAGTTTATTTATTATATCCTTGAATTCGAATAGAAACATTACATATGATGAGAACTTTTCAAAACTTGTTTTCAAAACAGTTTTTGAATCTTTTCTGGCTTTTACAAATACTCTTAGTTATGAACAGCAGCCACTGTGAACATTTAAAGGAAAGGAAAATGGAAATTTAGGGGGTTTTGTTTTGGTTTTTGGTTTTGGTGGTTTTTTTAACATATTTTTTTCACAGTACATTCTCCAACAATTTTGTCTTCACAAACATGTCAATACCTTCAGCCAAAACATAAGACTTTCATCCAGCTTGCATGCTGATATCCAAAGAGAAAATTTTTGGCTGACAAGGAAGAGGATTTAGACTCCATAAACTTTGCTTGTCTGGAAGATTACACTGGGGGAAAAGGTCTAGATATACAAATCCTTCTTACTAGAACTGATTTTTCTTCCCAAGTTCTACGTGTGGTCTTTTCTCTGATTTCCATTTTTAGTTTTTAATCGTACTTGCAGGTCAAGTGACTATGCATTATTTTGTGTCCATCTCCATCTTCATCTGAGTATGACATCTAGGAGACCATGCCTTGTGCTATCACACTCATTTTTGAGAGCTTTTTACAAAATATTTGATCCTCTTTCATTTCTAGATTAAATGGGCAAATTTATGTGTTTTCTTCATCTCCTCAAGGGTGAATATATTGCAGAGGAAACGTCTCAACATAAATTATAACTGAATCATTTCAGCTTAGCTTTCAGAGGCCTGGGTGGTCCTGTGGTTTGCAGGTCAAGATATTAGCACATCCTCAGTATGATAAGAGATGTACAAACAGCTACGCCTGTTCTTTCCGAGGTTGATTCATTTTACAGAGGGGAGGGGATGTTTCCGCTGCCCTCTGGAGGGGTTGTGCAACAGAAAAGTGCATTTAATCATTACAGAGACTTCTACAGAAGTGGAAGTCTAAGAGTTCCACTTCTAATAGTGGAAGTTTCAAGAAGGATATCAGAATTAGTGTGTCCTCTGGCTTCCCTGCCTACATCCCTTTACACTTTATGCTTTTTAGAGGACTGTGCTAGCACTTTCTGCTCTCTCAGGGTTATTGGTTGCAAGGGAATTCTACTGCTGAGGGCCTTCTCAAGGAAAGCTCCTTTCACTTCCAGCTCTCAGATGTTTGGCATAAACCCCAAAAGAGTATGATTCCCCTACTAATTAGTAGATCTTCAGATATTACTAGTCCTATTTACTGTACGTTCAATTCTTGATGAACCAATGAATGCAAATGATAGCAAAACCATACTGGAGATGTGACAGTGATAATTCCCTTGATGAAGACTTGACAGATATGTATGGAACTTAAAAACATGAAATTTAAAATAATAAGTCTCATTGATTAAACACAAAATCAATCAAATTATTTTTTATTTTATTCTTTCTTTCAAAAAAATTCAAAAATTTTATTCTTTCTTTTAAAACAGCAGCTTATTCAAGGTGTTGTAGCCTTACCAATAACATACATGTTATTTGGTGTTTCAACAGGGCTGGCTCTTGCAATAGTGCAATTGGAAGGCAACAAATTTTAAAGGTCAAGAAAGGAATTCTCATTAAAAAGCACGATAACACTTAGGCTACCAGCCAATTTCAAGGTGTCAGTGCCAAATCTTTTACCTTCTTCTATCTCTTTTTTTCTATTTATTCTACATCACAGAACAACTATAGCAATGTTAAATGGATAAGGCCAGAGCCCATATAGAAGTGAATGAACTACAATTTACATCATGTGGGTCATCTGCCCTATAATTCCCCAGATCTGCTTTTGAGCACAGATGAACAACGGAGAGAAAAAGCTAAGGAACATTCTCTTGTAATTGCATTACTTCCAGTAAGTAAAGAAAGGTAAAAGTAGAGATACAACCAACACTGCTTTTAGAAGGCATGGAATCAAATTTCTTACTAATTCTTTTTGCCACTGGTGGATAAAAGTAGTGACTAGGTGGTGAATTTATAATTTTGGCAAAGAATTCTGGGAGTACTGCCTGTGTTCACTATGAGCTGTGCCTTCTGTTCTCTTCACAGTGCCTCTTCTACTAGAGGAATGTCGTGACTGTGAGGAATCTGCCAAAGAGCCTTAAGTCTTTAGAGGTGAGTCTCTGTTGGGTACTTTTATAAGGACAGCAGAAAATTTGGTCTCTTAGCAAAAGCTCCATCTTGTTCTAAAGCAATTTCTCAGGCAAACAAACTGCATGGGAAGGTGGCTCTTGTTTCAGTGACTTATTTTTCTTTCTTAAACTTAAGCAAACTTTAGGATCAGGTTACTGATCTTGACATGGCTCTTCAATTTTTCATTTGGAAAATACTGTATTTTACTTCCTTAAATTTTATACCTGAAATGTTTATGCAACTGATCTCTAAAAGAAAATAATGAATCACAACCTCCCTGATTGCAGAAAGTGTGGAACGTTCAGAACAAAAATACTGTACAAAATGGGAGGAGTACCTTGACTCCAAAAACCATTTCATCAACCCCATAATGCTCAAAAAAGACAAACTTAACAATGGAGAACTAGACTGATGTAATGAGACATGAATTTTCACACTTAACACAAAACAAAGGGTGTAATTCTTTTTCATTCTGTGTGAACAGTGCGGAAAGGTAGTAAACAGAATAGCAGAAAACATTTGCATTTACATGATCAGAAAAACAGATAGCAATGATAATTCAGGTGTTTAGCTGTGAACTTTAACCAGGGCTTGTGTGATCATAGTTAGGATTTGAAATATGCCACTGAGAGGGTACAGTTAAGGCACAATCTATATCTGTTCTTCTTAGACATTTCTGAATAGGTTAGATTATTGTGATGCCTGTAGCACCAAGTTTTAAAAAGAGATTTCTCACACTGTCTCATCTGACAGTCTTCCAAGCAGACCACATACCACTCAAAAGAAAGAGACAGCCCCGTGGCTATGACAAAGTCGTACTGCCCATGTGGAGTTCTGCAGATCCACAGACCAAAGGAAATTAAATGTTCAGTGGGGAATATACTAGTTCAGAAATGGGATTAAATTGCATATAGTTTTAGTGCAAAGTCAATGGAAAATATTGAAAAAGTTATTATAATTGGAGAAATAGCACTCCTCTGGTGAGTACTCTCCTTTCTTGAGTAATTTTTTTGTTTTGGGAGCTCAGTTGCTTTGACCACATTTTGGTCACAGTTGTAGAAAATGTGTGGCTTTTTACTCTTCCCACATTATCTCCAGGAGAAGTGACTAGAGCATGTCCTCCCTTTTTTTTTACACCCATTTAAAGTTTTATTGCCACTAGTTAGAAAAACTACAAATAAACCTTAAAATAATGACCAAACTTTAGAAGAAATCCTTATTCCTGTAAAGGAACAGAGAGGTGAAAAATTGATCTCTCTGCCTCTTTGACCACTTTTCCCCTTGGAAGCTTCAGGAATTTGTTCAGAGGCTTTGACTTTTGGAAACACAAATCTTTCTCAGTCAACTTGGATTGACAAAATGCTATTAAAAAAAGATCCCAAATAACACAAGTAACACTAAGCATTTCTAAATGAATGTTCACTAACAGTTCTGACAGTGTTTTCATCTCTAAATGCTGGGTGTGCTTTCAGGGCATAGTAGAGTAAGCAAGGCTATAGCCTGCAGGGGCTGCTGTCATGCAAGAATAATTATACTAGGATGGAACAAACAATCAAACTATAAGGACAGATGTTGTTTGGTTTTGTTTTATGTTAAGGGCTAAGTTTATGTTCCACATTAGCAGAAACAGTATCTTTTTGTGAAAGTCTTGGGATACTTTCCAGAACTGATTAAGAACTAAGGCATATACTTTTCAACATGTTGGGATCTCCTATCTGAGAGGATGTCCTGTTTACATTTTGAGCATTAGCTAAGTAAGTATGCTGCACAAGCGCTCCAGCGGTAAGGTGAAATATAAGAGGGGAAGATGGCTTGAAGTGGATTTTCGCCAAGTTTGAAAAATGACACTTGCATGACCTCTGTCATCAAACCATTTGGGATTAGTTCTACAAAAGTATATTTTTAATGAGAATAAGCAGTCAGAAGGGAGAGGCCTTGGTGTCCATGCAATGTATTTCAGTTGGTTTAAAACTTTTTCATCTTCATTTAAGAAAGAAAATAAGGAGCAGCTGATAATGTGACTCCTAGCCAGTCTCATTTTATGAAATGACCTGAGTAGCTAACCAAACACCGATGAATCTAACACTAGCATTAAGTAGCATCTAGGAATAGCAAAACAAACAAAGCAAGAGTGACAGATTCTGTATTTATATAATCTCTTTATCACCTAAAGTCTTTCTATATGAGAACAGTAGTATACTACACAGTACTTACCTTATATTGCATGAAAGGCAACAGAAAATCGTTTGCTGTTTTCAGGTTTGAGTTAATTTTTTGCATGAGGGTGGCAATTTTTTTTGGTTGAAGGCAGAAACAACTTGTAATGAAATGGGAAAACAAAGTGACAAATTCCAAAACCAGAAGAATTTAAATTTTAAACATAGGCAAAACATAGTAGACTAATGGGAAAGTACCTAAAAGAATATAATAGTAAATATCATATGTGGTGCTTCTGCACACCCACAGCTTAACTGCTGTCAAGATTTGGTAGACTTCCAGGAAAAGGAAAAAATTTAAGGCACAGTTTGATAAAGTGTTAATTTTTAAATGTGTATAGGGAGCTTTTCAACCCTGTCCAAAGGATACTGATGGGCACACTTCTGTTCTCACTGTGACCTCCTGAAGCTAACTAAAATTAACAAATCTTCTTTTTTCACCACCGGGACTAACCCTCGCTCTGTATATAGATAGATGTATGGATTCAGATCTTTTAAGAATTTTTATATTAGGAATGGTATCCAGGGCCAAATACTGGAAATGTTATTCATCTGGGTTTCCACTTGACCTGATGCTTTTCACATTCACTTTAGTAGCATAGTATCTTAAAAATCCTTGTGTACAATTGTGTACAAAATGAAGTCCATTGATGCAAACCAGTTTGAGATCTGAATAATGTAAAAAAAAAAGACTTTTCTTGGGAATTAGCCCAGAAAAGTAGGTGATGGAACTGCTTCACATAATAACTTCAGTGTATCTGTTATACACAAAGAGCTTTCCTATTATGATATTCATATTTATTTCTAATTAAAAATTTTAGAAATCTAGATATCTCTCAGCCTTTATGTGGAGCCCATCATCCCTGCTTCTGGGAGAATGAGAATAGTTCATTGTATGTACTATGAGGTCTGCCAGTGTTATCTCTGAAATATGAGAACAAGTGGCATAATAAAATGTACTGCAGAACTCTGAAAGCCCTTGATTCTATATTTACATCTCTGAACAAGCTCACTTTGACTCATAGCTCCTTAATTAGAGGCATAGTCGTTTTCTTTTCTGTAGGGCATTTTTTTACCCTCACAATACAAGCATACATTTGGTAACTAATACCAGCAATTAGCCTCATCTGCTATGTAAATGAGTGTAATTGCAATTAAATACTTTAGTGGGCCCGAAGGGAAAACATGCAATCATTACAAAGTAAGTAGGAGTACATGGTAAAGGGACTTTTAGTAGTGCTAGAAGTGCTTTTTCCCTGTGTTGACTACGGTCCTTTCCATTGTTAGTCATTTCTTCAGGAGTTTAGAACCTGGTTCAAAGAATATTTTTTTCTCTCTTCCATTGAGAGCTGTGATAACCACAGAACAAAGAATGACATGATTTATGAAGAAGAGAGAAATTATCTCTAGGATGTTCACAGAAATTTCTGGTGAACATCTGAGTATCACAAAACAACATACTAAAAACAATACTGGGAATTTCCTAGATTGGTTTATTGTCAAAGATTTGTTGAAATCAATGGCTATGACAGTTTCACACTAACTAAAATAACTGTGTCACTGAATACGTCTACATTATTCTCTGTCTTACACAAGAGCTGTCACTAGCATACTGTAGGTAGCCTGTCTGGATTGTATTTGATGATATACTAAACATAGTATGGATATAGTGGCACTGTACTGCTGAGCTTGGACTTGATGTTTGAACAAACTGCAAATCTAATTTTGAGTGTGTCCTCCTAGAAAGTAATACAGATGCATGGTCAGATATAACTCAATAGTGTAAACATGATTCAGAAATCTCATTTGTATATCCTGTATATGTAATTTTGCATCTGAGTTAATAAAGTTTAAAGTGCCAAATCCACATTTTGAAATTTAATTATTTATCCCTAATTTCTTCCATTAGTTCAGTGTAATGGAACTATATGTTAAATTTGAATTTTCTTCTGCTGCATTTAAAGAAAGAAAACTAAAATTTTACTCAAAAAGACATTTTGAGCTGCTATTTTGTTCACAAACAATGTGGTAAATTTTGACCAAACTTAAGCACTGTAGATAGTCATCCTTCTTATTGCATCTTGAAAAGGTGGTTGAGAAGGAGGTTAGAACTGATTTTTTTTCTTAAAAATATCATGCAAAAACTGTTCATGTCCTGAATTAGCCTTTTTTTTTTTTTTTTTGGCATTACTCCTTGTTTTAAGTCTAGGCCTTTATGTCTGTTTAAGGATGCCTGTGTTAGGATGAACCAAGGGCAGGTGCTACTCCTAGAGGAGGATGGCCCACAGCCCAGAATGACAGCAAGGCAAACAGAGGCCTCACTGACAAGGGTCCTGTCCCACAGCACTGGAGTGAGGCAAACAGGGCAGGCCTGATGACAGTAATCAGGAATCTAGAATCTCCAAACAAGTTCACTGTAATGAGACATGCCAGAGGTTGGGCCAAGAATTCAGTCCATGGGTCAGGATTAGTATCCATACATACCTACAGGGTCCAGATCAATAGCTACAATGCAGTCCAGTCATGGACCAAGTATGACATCTACTTGAGTCCATTTCCCAACCAAATGACATAGGAACTCCTGCTGCAGCTTCTTCCATCTTTTTCTCAAAGGTCTTCAAGGCCAGCTGTAACTTCTCAGACAGCTCTCCCTTCTGAAAGCTGACTGGAAGGGAACAGAACCACACTCCTAGGAATGTTTGATATGCTCTGGGCTCTGACTATCTGCTAGACTGAAAGGTTGCTTTACCTAGAAGAATGCTTCAATACCATTCTGTTTATGAGAATGTCTTGTCTATTCTGAAAAATAACAGTGGAATAGTAAGAACACCTCAACTTAAATTCAGGCTAGGCAAGACAGAAACAAGTTACCAAGAACAGAAGTACCTTTCAATAGAAATAGGTGATGTCTGAGTTTTTCACTTGTTGAGACACATTGCGTGCAGGAAGAAAAATCCTGGTGGCTTATTTATCTAGTGGTCTGCTGAAATTTTTCTCTGTGGTATAAAAGTAATTTATTTTTATGTTAGACAAGGTAGTTGTTTGGATCTATCTCTTTCTCAGGATGACTTCAGAACAGCAAGTGCAGTGCAATTCATATTGGTTTCACTTACCAGGAAAAAAAATTAAAGGAGAATCTTGTTTCTAAATTAGTGTTCCCAAGTTGCCACAAACTGCTTAATGTGATTCAGTAATATGGTATGGTATTCAATAATATGGTATATGATTCAATAATTGGTATGGGTATCCCTTGAATAATATCTTTCTCGTATGACTGAAAGAACTCATAATTGGTGACAAAAATACTGCTACTGAAGTTTAATTTTGCATAGTTAGCAGGGTAATCTCTGCCCCGTAAAATATTTTTTCCTAAATTCAAAAGCATTTTATTTCACAGAATCACAGAATATGCTGAGTTGGAAGGTAGGCACAAGGATCATTGAGCCCAGCTCCTACATAGGACCATGCTCAAGAGTCACACCATTTGCCTGAGAGTATCATCCAAACACTTCTTGAACTCTGGCAGTCTTGATGTTATGACTACTTCCATGGAGAGCCTGTTCCAGTGCCCAACCACACTCTGAGTGAAGGATCTTTTTCTAATATCCAACCTAAACCTCTCCGACACAACTTCAGGCCATTCCCTCAGGTTCTATCACTGGTCACCACAGAGGAGAGATCAGTGCCTGCCCCTCCTCTTCCACTCATGAGGAAGTTGTAGACTGCAGTGAGGACTCCCCTCAGTCTTCTCCAGGCTGAACACACGAAGTGACCTCAGCTGCTTCTCATATGTCTTCCCTTCAAGGGCCTTCACCATCCTTGTTGCCCTTCTTTGGACACTCTCTAACAGCTTAATATCTTTCTTATATTGTGGTTCCCAAATCTGCACACAATATTCAAGGTGAGGCCATACTAGTGCAGAGCAGAGCAGGACAATCCCCTCCCTCGACTGGCTGGTGATGCTTTGCCTGATGCCCCCCAGGACACAGTTGGCCCTCCTGGCTACCAGGGTACTGCTGACTCATATTCAACTTGCCAATGACCCTCAGGTCGCTTTCCATGACACTGCTTTCCAGCATCTCATTTGGTAAACTTTGAAGATGATAACCTGTTTGCATAGCCAGTTTTACACTAACCTTCACAAGAAGTTGGGCTTTTTTGTTCATTAACTAGAGCTAATTTGGGTTTTCCAGGGTCACAACTATATGAATTACAGTTGTGTGTGTTGTATTTTTATGTCTTGCATTTAGAAATCCGTTTTAGACCTTCTGGCCGTGGAAAAATGATCACTGAGATTTCTTCTATTATTGATGTGTATCAGTCAGTTTAGGAAAGTCTATGTTGTTCTCTTCTTAAGCAGATGTAAGTGTTCTGTCAAATGATGTAGTTATGATTGCAAGTTTCACCAAAATAGCTGGAGTTTGATCATTGACAGTGACCATCACTATGGAAGCTGAATTCAAACTCATTTATTGATATCTCAGTCAAGAACTACTCTTTACTGAGAACTAGTCTCCCAAAGGATCCTATATTCCACATAAGAAATTTTGATGGGTTAGCTTTAAGGTGAATGTGTTAATTAAAGACAGACTTTCACAATTTAGTATCTACACATCCTAAATGATAGAAAAAGAATGTGCTTAGCAGAACAGTATATATATTGTTAAGAAGAAAAGAATTCCTTAGAATCATAATACTGGTTTCAAGCCACTAAAATAAAATTCAAAAAAGTACCAGTCTTTTTTTAGGACTTGGAATTCAGAAGTGATTAAACATAGTTTGGGGTTCACCATATTGCTTTGATGAGTAGCCTTAGAAATTGTTTCTTATTCCAGGGATCTTTGAATTTAAGATCTTCCTCTGGTCAGTGTTATAACACATCTTTATAATTGAACATTTTCCATAAAATTTGAACTTTAGTAGTGGTGAAGATATTAAAATTAGAAGTCAATGTTATTGGTTTGGGCAAATGTAAATAATCTAAAGGAATTAGAATTCAGGCCACATCTTAGATTGTAATTTTTAGAAAAGGGTTTGCAGAGAAATGTCAGCTATTAGCTGTGTGCTTAACATGTGTCTGGTCTGCGTGAACTTGTATTCACCTTAGCCCTGTGGAGCACCAACTTTTTCTTCCAGCCAGCTGCAGTATTCCGCCTGTTTGTAACCTCCTTGTAAGTGAAATTGTTTCAGCCTTTCCCCTGCCGACAGCAAAACATAAACATGAGGCACATTAAAAAGGAAACAGGATCCTGGTCCTTTTCTGTTTCTCAGTTTTATTTAGCAGTGACCTTTAACCCTCATTAAGATACTTTGGAAAGTTTGGGACTCCTTTTTTTTGTATAGCTCTTTGTGGGAATATTTAGGTTTGTTATATTGTTTTTCTCTTCAAAAATATTTAAATGCCTTTGGGCAGTTGTATAAAACTTTATAAAAACACATTTACCTATTCTAAAAAAATTTTCTGTAAACAATATTTCACAGCATGTGCTCTGGTCATTACAGTCATACCGTGGATACAAGGCAAACATTGACACCCAAATTTTACTCAAGAGGAATATCAATGCACACTAAAGTTTTGTCCAGAGCAAGACATACATTCATATCCACACTAATGGATGCTAGCCCGAAAGCATATGTTAATGCACATAAAATACCAGATACAGTTGTTTTATCTATAAAATAGGACTCAGATTCGTGAATATAAAAGTCATGTGCTGGAATTTGTTTAAAATTTGTAATGTGTATCAATAACTAGTTATGTCTGATAATGCAGCTTTTAATTTGATTTTTTTTCATTTTTTCCCCCAATTGTTTTTTGCTTTGATGTTCTTTTCCCTTCTAATGTCAAAATGAACAAAATAAGTAATATAAAAAGAGAGCTGTGAAAAAAATGAGTGCAAGAAATTCAAAACATCTTTGATTTTCCTTTTTCATATCAGATGGAGAGTTTGTTCCATATTTCAATCCAAAACAAGCTTTTAGAAGGAGTCTTATATTAATGTAAAGTGGTTTATTTTCTTAATTTCTGAGACCGTAAGGTACTTTCCACAGATGCTGTGCTTTTGTCAAATGGATTTTGGTAATATTTGAGATGATGAAAATTCATCCTTGATAATATGTTTAAACAGCTAAATGTTTTATTGTTTAAAATGTGCTTCCCATTTCCTTCTTGAGACCTTTTGGTTTTAGTATGTACTAATTAGCTCTTATATTTATCTTATTTAATGTGATTAAATGAAGGCAAAATATACTATGTCATATCTTTATTTTGAGATTCAAATCGCTTGACTGGAGCTTTTAATCTGATTAGTTTTCCCTGCTTCTTTTAGGAAGGTAAAACAACAGCATGCATTCAACCATTATGATTACAGAGATGAATTTGACCCTACCAGTCTAAATTTGCAAAATTAAGCAATTCATGTTAAGTAGCTTCTAAAAACTTATGCTCTTCAGCTACAGTTACATTTTTTTTTTTAATAGTGAGATATAGCCTTCCAGATTTAGTACAGATCATCATAATCCATAAATTTTATGTCCATTAATGGAAGCATTTTAATTTTTAGTCTTTACTAATATTTGATGGAAAAGATATAACTCTTCATCAATGATTTTACAGGTTATAGCTAGTTCAGAAAGGAAAAATCAAAAATCCAGTGCAATGATATCTTTTAAAAAGTGACCTTGTCAAAGTAAGGCATTCTGACTTCAATTAAATTCAGAGTTAGTTGGTCCCACAGGTAATACTGGAATATATAATGTTAGCAATTATAAGAATACTTTGCAAAAGTAGTTTAAAAACCCTAAAAAAACCCCCTTTATGCTGTGCTGGTTTGTAGAAAAAAAGGAAGACTTTACCTTTATATTAGTAGCCATTTAAGAGGTCATTTTGGAGTGTATCGTTACATAAAACATGAGGTCAGCAAGTAAGGCTAATTAAATTTTAGTAGGAGCAAGAGTCACCAAAAGGTTTTTACTTTCATCCTACCCTGTCTAAAATAGTCATACAATACACCATTAATAGCCTTGGAATAGCTAATTATTTCAACATGAATAGCAGTATCAGTGCTGTCAGCTTAATACCCTCCTGAATATTCCTAAAGAATGCATGATTATTTTTATTATTTTCTCGATTCAGGAAGAACAAAAACAATCAAGCAAAATCAACCTAAACGTGGAAATACGGTTTAGAGTAAGTACCTGTTTTCATCTTGGATGAGAAATTTTCTCCATATAGTTTTCCACCAGAAAGTGCAATTCAACTCATTTCAAGTATTTGCAATGAAACATACCTCTTTCACATAAGTTTTCTTGAGGAGAAGCCAGCATTTTCCTCTTTTACTATTTTATTTAAACCAATATTTTAGTAATTTCCATCCATTTTAAGTTTTCTGTGTATCACAGAAAACATTGTTGAGAATTTATTATTACACTGTTTTTTGTATTACTGAGAAAAAACCCAATCTATCATAACAAAATGTTTTAATGATCCTATATTGGAATTTTATTTTCCATAAGAATTTTAAAATTTGGCATTTTTGGACAAACTTGGAGCAGGAAAAAAAACAATACAAAAAACCCAAACACATGAAATCCTGATGTTTCTCTTGAAGCTTATAGTTTATTTTTCCTACAGCATAATTCATTATTGCACTACACAATATAGAAGCATTTACCATTTTAGGTCATAAGTTTACAATAATACACAGTACATATAAGACTTGTGAAATATTCTATTCCATGGAAATGTGCATTGGTACTTCTAAAGTTTAACTAAGCTGAAAAGTCAAGTTCAGTCTTCAGTCCCTAATCCAACTGTGTTTCTCAAAAAATAATATTCTGGCCATTAAATGAACACATCCTTTTCTTCCTAAGAATAATCTTTTGTTACCACCTACCTCAGAAAGTGAGGGTAACCCAGGTTTTTATTAATACATGCCTTGGGGTGGATTAGAGTGAAACTACACTGAATGATCAGTGTTTGCAAATATATATATGTAGGGTTTATTTTAGAACAATTTGGTTGCAAAGGAAAACAGGTATGTAACTGTTTTGGCCATTATTACCTATAATAATATAGCCATGTAAATGCATAAAAATAGCATTTATGAAAACATATAAGGAAAAGAAAGAGAAAAGATAAAAGTAGAAAGATGTTGGATCCAGTGAGGAAACTTGGTAGTTGCAGTTTCAATGTCCATTTTTTGAAGTCATAGTAGCAATTTAAGACATCAACCATTTCAGTCCCTCACACCATGATGTTCAGGAGAAAATTCAGAGTTGACAATTCCATCTTTGATATTTCTAAGTCTCTAGTTATCATAGTGAAAAAATATTTACTCAAATGGACTTCTAACTCTCAAAGAGGTTATGTTTAAGGGAACAGCACACCATTCACTGTGTTGACACACTAGATTTAAAAAAATCCAG